CGGTGCAAGGAGCAACTTTCACTTGAGGGGACGTTGGGGTCCTCACCGGCCCTTGGAGCTGCCCACACCCCATACACGGATGTGCACCAGAGGCTGGCAGTGGATCAGACTGTGGTCCAGGGGATTCACCAGGCTCATGGCATCCTTCTTCAGGATCATTAGCATGTTCTGGCCCTGCCAAGGACAGAGGGCAGCACAGAGCTCAGATGAAGGTGGTTGCCATGGGGAACAGACAATTCAGAGACAACCAGCTCTATCGGACCCTGAGCTGAATCCTTGAAGGGCTGGCTAGCTCACCTCGCCCCAGGCACCAGCTGGGGGCTGGCTCCGGCTGCGGGTCTGGGCCAGCTGCTGGATGCAGTTACTGACCGCAATACTGCTCTTCCCTGGTGCCAGGTCCTCTTCGGGTACCTCCACCCAGCCCAGAGAGCGGACTGCAAAGCACTGGCAGGTGAGGAGAAAGGACAGAAGGGCCCCAAGTGAGTAGAGGTGGAGCAGGGTAGAAGATGCCACAGGCTACACACATACGAACCCTCTGATCCCCCTCCCTTGATCATCTCTGCTCAGCCCAATCCCACCCCTGACCTTTCCCTGGGGGCCTTCCCCAATGCCACGGGCTGGCCCTCAGGCCTAAGTCACTACCTTAGCCCCTGGTTCCATGCTCTGGATGTAGGATTCCTCACCATACCAGGACAGAGAGTTACTGGAACAGAGCAGAGCTAGTAAGGGACCACACTTCCTACAGAAGGGACACTGGTGAGGCACAGACTACTTAATAGGCAAAACATGTGGGATAAGACCCAGAATATAAAGTCCCAAATATAAAACCAGAGCAGGGAGGCCCCAGGACATATTAAACAAACGTAACATAAAGAGTATGACTTAGAATCTGAGGAAAAAATCAGGGCACAGGACATAGAATAAAAGTTGTAAACATAGAGCAGGGTTCAAAATGTGAACCAGAGCTCCAAAAGGGGACAAGAGACCCTAGAACACAGGACAGGAATCTCCATGGACAGATCCCAGGACAGTGCCCAAGGTCCAGAACATGGTACGTCAGGACGCAGCATACGGAAAAGAACATGTGGCAAAAGACAGAGCTTGGAACTAGACCAAAACTCAAAATACTGAGTCAAAGCATGAGTCAGAGTTCAGAACCTGGGCTGGAAAGCAGACTGTGGATCCAGCTGCATCTCTGAGTGCCATGGAACCCCCTGGCCTGGCCCGGCCCTATCCCTGTTACCTCCGGTCCAGTGAGCTCTCCAGGCTGGAGAAGGATCTCCCCTTGGGAGGCCGAAGTCCCCAAATCCTTCCGGCCTCTGCAGAGAGGGGGCTAAGTCAGTGTAGCAGCAGGCTAGGTCCACACATGGGCTCAGGCCCCCTCCTCACACTGCACCTACCGTGCCTGGCTCCTCTGCATCTCCTGGCTCCCAGGTTGGGCGCTGCCACTGGGTGCTACCGCTTGGTACGTGCCAGTAGTAAGTACCGGCAGCATCGTGGATCTTTCTCCAGCCAGGGGGCAGGCCTGGCTCTCCCTCCAGACTCTGGTCCCCCCACAAGTCATCTACAGGAATACGGAACGAGGAGGGGGAACACGGGATTGGAGAAGGAGGGCATATTTGTGGATGCAGAATAACACCTTGTCAACCCTTACCCTGGAGGTCCAGGCAGACGGTCCGGGCTCCCAATCTTGGATATTATTACAGTGCAAAGATCAGGGTTCATTTGTACCCTGGTTCTCACCCCAGGACCTACCCTCCTCCCTGAGTTTGAGCCTGGGGGTAGCCCTTCACCTTCCCTCTTCCCCTCTCAATTCCCGGTCCTCCCTCCCATCGGACCCCTCCGTGCACACCATCGCAGTTGACCAGAATTATGGCCAGCATGTAGTCCTTGCCCAGCATGGCCCCGACCGCGGCCCCGCCGGCCTCTGCCGGCCTGCACTCTCAGCCCAGCTCGACCTCGGGAGCTGCTGCGCCGACAAGCCCAGCCTCTCTGCGCCGGAGTCACCGGGCCAGCGGACGGACGCCACACAAATACGGGGCGGAGCAGGGGCCGTCCCGGGGTTGAAATATGACGGGAGGAGCGGCGCCGCTCGCCGAGAGGTGGCGCACGTAAACAGGCGTCTGGCTCCCCAAGTGGGTGCGCGTTCGGTGTGGGGACCGGGGCGGAGCGCCGAGGCCAGCGCACCAGCCGACACCACCACGCAACTGTGAGCTCAGCAAGCGGCGGGTGACCCACCAGGCGAAAGTGCGCGGGGCTCTCACGCGCACCTGTGACAGCAGCACGCCCAGGTCGTGCGCGCGCACGCGCAGCTGAGACCCGAGAGGAGGAGTCACGTGGGAGTACCTGTGGGCAGGAGTCACGTGGGAGTACCTGTGGGCAGAAGAGCGCTTGAGCTCGGCTGCCAAGAAAGCGCCTCTGGCCCAGCTGGCCTGGCTCAGGGTTGAGCGTGGACCTAGGAACCAGGAGGTTACCCTCGGATTCCTGGTCGGAGCACATGCCCGGGTTGCAGGCTCCATCCCTAGTGTGGGGCCTGTAGGAGGCAGCCAATCAATGATTCTCTCTCATCATTGATGTTTCTATCTCTCTCTTCCTCGCTGAAATAAATAAAAATATATTTCTATATACATTTAAAAAAAAATTTTTTTAAGAAAACACCTCCAACCTTCCAAAAAAATCTCCCGGAAGTGCCTCCGCCCTCAGTAATGATGGGCACTTGGTATGAGGGAGGGGGAGGCGGGGCTGCGCCTGCGCAACAAGCTCCACGGGGGAAGATGGCGGATGACAAGGTGAGTGACCATGGGGTGGTCTGCAGTGGCGTGGTATCCACACCTTTTTAGTCCCGGGGAAAGACAACGCATGGGTGAGATGCCCCTTGCTTTCCCTGGGGGTGGACTTGTGCTCACGCCCGCGGCAGAAGTGTGGAGTAGATGGGCGGAGCACTCCAGGAGGCAAGCAGCTGAGGAGCCGCCAGGGTGCCCCTCCGGGGTCCATCTCAGTACCTAGTTTCTCACATTCAAACCCGTCCGCTCTGACACTCTCCTGACTCTGCTCCATTCCCTAGCCCTGGGAATGTCCCCTCCCAGAGACACCTTGTTTCAGATTCATACTGACACACCCTCATTCAAACACTCGCTGGCACACACACTGAAGTTCATACTTTATGCGTCAGAATCTCTCAGTTCATTGACCCATACTCCGTGCCCCGCCCCTGCCACCTCCCGCGAGCATGCGGAGGCACACATTCAGTTTGGGGTGGCCTAGGGGGAGAAAGGGGGGGAAGCCCGGGCAGAAACCAGATTTACCTCCAAATTGTCCAGGGAGCTGCCTTGGGCCGTTATTTACCTTTGATCTGAAACTCAGCACCACTCACACATTTACTGAGTACTTGCTGGTCCCTGCATTAGGACTTGGGACTCAGTAGACAAGACAGACTGGTCTCCACTTCCACGTAGCTTATAGTCAAGTCATTAGTATTTTCCTGATTGATCTAATTAGCTGCCCTTCCCGCTTTCCCTACACACTGCTTACTCTATGAAGTTCCTGTAAGTTACTGATGCACATCCATCTGTCACCCCCTTCCTGGCCCCAGTGTGAATCCCATCCTTTTCAATGCCCTTTTTTCCTTTACCAGTGTCATCTCAGGAAGGTATTTATGTAAAGAGGTTTCACAGGCTCAACCCATCCCACCTCCTCCCCAGCCTCTGATAGACTGGAGCAGGGGATGGGGCTAGGTCAGTCTGCTGGAGCCAGTCTCTCCCTTTCCGTAGGACTCTTTGCCCAAGCTTAAGGACCTGGCCTTTCTCAAGAACCAGCTAGAGCGCCTTCAGCAGCGTGTGGAAGACGAAGTCAGAAGTGGTGTGGGCCAGGTAACACTGCATCTGACGCCACCCCCTGTAGGCTTCATTGCCCAGTATGCTTTTGAATGGGTGGTAGAGATTTATTCAGCAAATGCTAATTGAGGGCCTGTTCTCTGAGACTTCAAGGAAATTTTCCCTGAGAAAATGGCACTTGATCCGGGATCTTAAATAGGGGTTAACTAGGTGAAGGGGGAGGAGGGAACATTCCAGGCAGATGGAACAACATATGCAGTGTTCTTGTGGTGGGAAGTAGCATGGTGAGCATGGAGGTGAAAGCCGTTCAGTGTGGCCGCAGTAGTGGGTGAGCATGCTAGGAAATGAGAAGCAAGCAGGGCCAGGTTCCTCTGTGGCCTTGTGGCAGTAGGGTTCTGTGTGTGGAGCCTCCTAGCCCCAGGGTTCTGAGATTATGTGATCAGAACTCCTAGGTTATTTTTCTGCCTCTAGAACCTTGAGAAAATCTTTGGAGAGCGTACTACAACTTTCCAGAGTAAGAAGGAGCAGGTGATGGGATGCTCTCAGCCCAGATCGAGTAGCTCCTGGTTAGAGAAGGGGAGAACCTACTGAGTTTCCTCCTGAATCTTTTTCCACAGGATGGCTCGCTCTTGTCCTCCCCATTCCTCAAAGGCTTCCTGGCTGGCTATGTGGTGGCCAAACTGAGGGCATCAGCGGTATTGGGCTTTGCTGTGGGCACCTGCACTGGCATTTATGCAGCTCAGGCATATGCTGTGCCCAATGTGGAGAAGACAATAAGGGACTATCTGCGGTCGCTGCGGAAAGGGCCCGACTAGCTCTGGATCCTGTGGGGGAGGCAGGATGAGAAGCTGGGGCCTGCAGGTGGAGGCCTTTCGACCACAGACACCATATCTGGCTTCCCTGGCTGTCACCCAATTACTGTCTCCAAGTTTCCTGCCTCCTTCATCCTTGTTTCCCTTCCTGCAGAGGGTGGGTAGTGGCTCATCAGCCAGTATCCTCCATACCTCCTTCCCTCCCTGACCCAATGGGACTGATCCCAAGATTGTGGCTTCTAAGGCCACCAGACTTTTCCCACCCTAAGTGTGGAGTTTGCAGCTGACGTACCACAGCTCCTGCCTCCTGGGAGCCAACTCCATATCTTGATTCTCCTCAAACGTGTCACATCCTCACTGCTCCTTATTAGTTACACAGGCCACCCAGGGTCTGATGTGGGCATGAGTGTAGAGGACGGGGGAGTGCCAGGCCTGGGCCGTCCCAGGCAGGCCCGCTGGACTTTGATGCTACTCCTGTCCACTGCCATGTATGGTGCCCATGCACCATTGTTGGCACTGTGCCATGTGGATGGCCGAGTGCCCTTCCGACCCTCCTCAGCTGTGCTGCTGACTGAGCTGACCAAGCTACTGTTGTGCGCCTTCTCCCTCCTGGTAGGCCGGCAAGCATGGCCCCGGGGGGCCCCGCCCTGGCGCCAGGCTGCCCCCTTTGCACTACCAGCCTTGCTCTACGGCGCTAACAATAACCTGGTGATCTATCTTCAACGATACATGGACCCCAGCACCTACCAGGTGCTGAGCAATCTCAAGATTGGAAGCACGGCCCTGTTCTACTGCCTCTGCCTCCGGCGCCGCCTCTCTGCACGCCAGGGCTTAGCACTGCTGCTGCTGATGGCAGCGGGGGCCTGCTATGCAGCTGGTGGCCTCCAGGACCCTGGGAGCACCCTCCCTGGGTCCCCTCCAGCAGCTAAGGCTGGCCCCATGCCCCTGCATATCACTCCACTAGGACTGCTGCTCCTCATCCTGTACTGCCTCATCTCAGGCTTGTCCTCCGTGTACACAGAGCTGCTCATGAAGCGACAGAGGCTGCCCCTGGCACTTCAGAACCTCTTCCTTTACACGTTTGGTGTGCTCCTGAATCTAGGTCTGCATGCAGGTGGCGGCCCCGGCCCAGGCCTCCTGGAGGGCTTCTCAGGATGGGCAGCGCTCGTGGTGCTCAGCCAGGCACTGAATGGACTGCTCATGTCGGCTGTCATGAAGCACGGCAGCAGCATCACACGCCTCTTTGTGGTGTCCTGCTCGCTGGTGGTCAACGCCGTGCTCTCAGCAGCTCTGCTGCGGCTGCAGCTCCCAGCTGCCTTCTTCCTGGCCACTCTGCTCATTGGCCTGGCAGTGCACCTGTACTATGGCAGCCGCTAGCCCCTGACCACCTTGACTCCTGACCCTGGAGGTTGGGCGTTACCATCAGAGCCACCTCCTAGCTCCCTTTCCCTCAGCAGCCCTGTAACAAGTGCCTTGTGAGAAAAGCTGGGGGAGTGAGAGCAACCAGATGGGTGGATGAAGGTGTACCCCTGAGAGACTTGTAGAGTGGGTTTGGTTAAGGAAACTGGAAACTCTTAAACATCACCCTCCCCTGACCCCCACCCCACGTTCTTCCAGACTAGGGAACTAAGGGAGCATCATACCTACACCTGAGAAATGACCCCGTCTCTGATGGAACAGGTTCCCTGTCTTATCCTGCATGAATGCAGTTGCCTCCTTCCCCACCCCCATCCTACAGGAAAGCCCAATTGCCACAGATTCCACACCCATCACCTTGGCCATTCTGCTGAGCTCCTGCAGCTCCAGGGTCGCCTGGAGACAGTGCATCCCTGCTCCCTCCACAGAGCTGCTCTCCACACCCAGCCTTTGTTCTGGAAACCCCAGAGGGGCTGGGGCTTGGCTCATCTCAGGAAATGTTTCCCCTGGGCTCTGGCTTATACTCCTGATCTCTCTACTTACCCAAAGACCCTCTTGAAGCCCAGTGCCCCCTCTACAGCTCCTAGGAGTTACCATTCTAGGTCCTGCCCCTGCCTAGCAGTGTCCCACCTCCCAACAGCCACAGAAGCTCTGCACAGAGTGACCTGGGACCAGCACAGGGAAACGTGTATAGCTCAATGTCAGACTGCATAAGCAATAAAATAAGGTCTTAATAAAGCATTCTGGAGTGTAGGCGATTCCTACAATCAATCATGATTGTCTTGTGTCTTCTGTGTTGCATAGCTCCTCTCAAACAATTTCATTCCCCTGGTGCCCTTAGTATCTTAATCCTGGGGTAACATACTGGTAGACTAGGAGAAAGGCTGTTTTCTCCCTCACTGTTGCCAGAAGCATTATTTCCTCTGAGGGTTCCATGGAGCCAAGACTGTTCTCGGTCACAGAACTTTTGAAATTTTCCTGAAGCATAAAACTTTGGTGCTGAGGAATTTGGAAGCATCTTGGGACTAGAAGACACTAAGCCCAACAGGACAAACTAGACTCTAGGCCAGAGAACTCTTCAGAACTCAATGTGGTTATGATTGTTGTTTCCTCTGGACCCCTCACTGATACTCCTGCCTGTCATCTGATCTCTTGGCCGGAGGAATGTCAGGCCCTGCTCCCATGGAAGAATACCTGGTAAACTTGTTTTTAAAAAGTCTCAGACATATTGAAGCAGAATCTTAGTGAGTGGGGTTAGGGAATCTTTTTTTTTTTTTTCTCCTTTTTAAAAAAAAAATTGTAATTGATTTCAGAGAGGAAAGGAGAGGGAGAGATATAAATATCAATGATGAGAGAGAATCATTGATTGGCCGCCTGCACACCCCACACTGGGGCTCAAACCTGCAACTCGGGCATACGCCCTGACCGGGAATCGAACCATGACCTCCTGGTTCATAGGTTGGTGCTCAACCACTGAGCTACACCAGCCGGGCTTTATTTTTTTTTTAAAGCAGCTTCCTAGGTGACTGATACACTGCAGTTTGTGCACCACTACTATCTGCTGTGTAGAGCTATAGCAAACTAGACCTGAATTTGGACTCTGTCACTTACTAGCTGACTGTCCTTGGGCATACATTTAACCTCTCCTAGCTTTAATTGCCTTAGCTCAGAAATGGGGGTCAATGGTGCCTTACAATTATTTTGGGTAGTAGGAAAAGCTAAATGAAACAATAGATATTAGGTGCTTAGCAGGGACTGGTACAAGGAGACGTGCTTAGTGATGGTATTAATTATAATGAAGGTTAGCTTGGTTATTGTGTCCCAACTTCCTCTTCCTTCTAGGACCCTTAAGAATAAGGAGAGCCCTAGCCAGTATGGCTTCATGGATAGAGCATCAACCTGCGGACTAAAGGGTCCCAGGTTCGATTCTAGTCAAGGGTAGTCAGGGTTGCAGGCTTGATCCCTGGCCCTGGTCAGGGATGTGCAGAAGGCAACCAATGGATGTGTCTCTCTCACATTGATGTTTCTGTCTCTCACCCTCCCTTCCACTCTCAAAAAATCAATGGAAAAATATCCTTGGGTGAGGATTAACAACAACAAAGAGTAAGGAGAGAGGGTCCTACCTGGGTAGCTCCATTGATTAGAGCGTTGTCCTGATACGCCAAGATTGCAGGTTCAATCCCCGGTCAGGACACATACAAGAATCAACCAATGAATGCATAAATAAGTGGAACAACAAATCGCTGTTTCTCTCTCCCCTCCCCCACCCCCCACCCCCGTCCCCTTGCTTCATCTCTCTCTAATATCAGTAAATAATTTAAAAAGAAAGAAAAGGTGAGAGGATTCCTGATCACCATATTTCTCCCCAGGGCAAGGGGCCAGCATGACTGCCCCAGCCTAGTCTGCAACCTGCCGGAGCTCCTGGTTCTGTGCAGCCAGGTTTATGGTGTCCTGCAGGATGCCAGCCAGCAGGCTGCGGTGGTGATACTCTGGCCATGGTCTGTTCCTCCCACGGCACCTGCCAGGCTTGCAACACCTGTGCCCAGATTCAGAGGTGTCTGTCAGTCAGCCAGCATGGTAACCAACTCAAGGCCTGTCCTCTGTCCCTACTAACCTGTAACACGTGGCATGTCTGTGCTCAGGTGGCCTGCACATGCAGGTCACAGAGGGCTATCGGGTCCTGCTCCGCAGTGTCCCGCTGTGCCCGAAGGCCTCCCGCTGGAGCCTCAGCACTGTGTGCTCCCGGTGCCGCCGCTGTCTCTTCTCGGAGGCCTTAAGTGATAACACAGTCAGCCTTTCGGATCCACATCCCGTTCATGGATTCAACCAACCCCAGATTGAAAATATATATTTTTTAATGTTCCATTATTGCTGATGTTGTACTATGTAGTTAGGCCCACAGTGGCTGCGTGTCTGAACTGAACATGTATCAAGTTTTTTTCTTGTCACTATTCCTTAAACAATACAGTATAACAACTACTTACATAACATTTACATTGTGTTAGGTATTATAAGTAATCTAAAGGTGATTTAAGTCTACAGGAGGATATGTGTAGGTTACATGCAAACACTGTGCCATTTTATATAAGGGATTTGAGCACCCGTGAATTTTGGTATCCATGGAAGTCCTAGAACCAATCCTCCATGGATACCAAGGGACAACTTACTTTTTCTTGAGTGCCACCTGTGTGCCCACTCTGTCCTACACACTTCATATGTATGATCTCATTTTATCCAAGGACCACCCTATGAGGTAGTTGTCATTTTACAGATTTGAAAACTGGATCAGAGGAGTGATTTAACGCCCAGATTCACGTGGCTAGTGAGGGGCAGAGCTGAGATGACACGCCTTCCAACAGTTCACCACCATCCTGGGGTAAAGTCGAAATCCAGAGGCATGGCACATGCCTCGCCTCTGACCATGCACCTGCCAGGCTCCAGCCAGAATGACGGTTTGCAATACCCAGAACCCATTTGCCATTGTTTGGCTCTGGACCTTTCTTCATACAATATTGTCGTCTCTTAGAACATATGTTTCTCCACTCCGCCCTCATGCCCCATGCACATAAATTTTGTTTCTTAATTTGTTCCAACAAGTTATATTTACCGAGTGCCTCTATGTGATGAGCACAGACTGCCCCTATGGGGCTCAGAGTCTAGGGGATCCCCCTGGTTGCTTTACTTGTCCTTTAATTCTCATCTCTAATCCACTCCAGCCTGGGTCGGGTACATCTCTTTGTTCCCATAAGCCCCTACTCCCCTCATCACAGCACTTAGCACCAAGAATTGCCTCATCTATCCCCCACAAAGCTGTGAGGGCCAGGAGAGAGGGTATGGCCCCGTCTGTTGTGATTGACACCAGATCTCAGCGCACCAGCATAGTGCCTGGCCCAATTAGAAGACTCAAATCCCCTACATGACCCTCCTTACCTCTTCCCCAGCCACCAGGACTTTGACCTGGTCTCCTGCCTCCTCCTGTCCCAAATGCTTCAGTTCCTCCTGGATCTAAATGTGTGCTGTGCTCGCAGTCTCTGACTCCGGGCCTGGGCCAGGAAGAACTGCAGGGCCACATCTGGGGCCTGTCAGGCCTACGTGGCATCAATCCAGGCTCAGCCAGAAGCCATGTATGCACACGGCATCGGGACATAGGGCCCAACATTTCCAACAGAATCTCATTGCCAGGGATTCTCCCAGAACTACATCCCAGACCTAATGGCCCTGGAAGAGCCTGTAGTCTGGACAGAGATTTGAAGGCCATGGGGGGAGGGAAAATATTGGCTCTTCTAATAGATGCCACGGAGGCCCTAAAGATTACATGCTCCTAATCCAATAGGAAAACAGTCCCTTCGGGATCCAGTAGACCTTCAGGTCCTTTATTTGCCACAGTTCAATATTTCTCCCTAATGTTGGGGCTGGGTAAGCCGGAGACATATTAACTGGGCTCTGCAACTGCAGCTCTTCACTCCCCGCACACCTTTGTGGGGTATGTGAGGGAACCTGTTCCTCAGCGTCCCTGAAAGGATGCTTTTGGTGGAGCCCAGGTCCTAGAGATGCTGTCCTTCCTGCCACTGGAGGAAAATGCAATTAAGTAAATCAAAGGTGAAGACCCCCAATTCCACCCCAAGCCCCAGGCCCACCTTGGGGTTCCTCCTGGAGGCCTGTGCTGTGGCTTGCTTCTGAATTTCTCACCTGCTGAGAAGATATTAGGAGTGGGAAGGACAGCTGAGGTTAGCTCAGGGCTTTGAAATCAGACTGGTCAGGGTCCCAGTCCCTCCCTTTCTTAGCTGCATGACCTCAGGCAGGTGACACGTCTTTTGAGTCTCCATTTTTCCTCATCCATAACATGGAGCTGATTAAAGTTATAGAGAGTATGAAATAGGATAAGGCACCCAAAGCACTGAGCAGTAATGGGAGCTTACATGCTTAATTCCAAGGCCCAGGGCTGTAAAAACAAGTTGTAAGTAATCATAAAAAGGAAAAAAGAAAAACAGGAAAAGCTGGACAGGGCAGCCTTCCAGCCACCCTGTGGCAAATCCTGGGAGAGAGCGCCCCCTTCTGCACAAGAGCGAGCATGCATCTGGGAGGATGAAAGCACCACATTGAGTCTAAGGACTTGGCATTTGCACCTGCGCTCCCTTTGGTTCTCCCATCACTTTCCTTCTCTGAGCCTCAGTTTGCTCACCTGAAAATGGGGAGCAATGTCCTCTGCTTGAAATACTTCTGTGGTTTCCTTTTGACTTTCAAGATAAAGTCCAAACATCTCAATAGATTTACAAAGACCTGTGTGACCTAGCCCCTATTTCCCTCTCCAGCCCTCTCTCCTGACTCTATTCATCACACTCTATTCTCAAAAGATTGAGCTGCTTGCAGTCCCCAAACAGATCAAGCACTCATTTACCTCTGAGACTTTTTTTTTAATATGAACAATAAAGATTTATTTAAAAAAATAATAAAAGAAAAAAGATTCTTACTTTAAAAAAATAATTTGGTGTTTTGTTAGGTATCTTTAACAAATCAGCAACTATTGGTCTAAAAGCTTTCATAGATGCTATTTCTTGTCAGAAAAGGGGAATCTCAGTTCTTGGAACTTTAGGGGAGCCGTTGAGCCTTGGAGGTTAATGACTAGGAGCTCCAGCCTTAAGGAGTAGTTCCTTGATTGATATACGCTGGGTCTGTGTAAGTCCTAAGCAGCTAGACCATATATGCATGAGAAGAAACATTTATTTAGGAGGATCTTCAATATATTGTGCATATGACTTATTTAATGTTATT